GGTGAAGAAATATTTTCTCACACCCAACCAACTTCTATTCTTCTCCAGGTGACATTTGTTGTCCCTTAGTTCTCTCGTGGATCTCAGAGGTAGGAGGCCTAGATCGGTGTTCTTCATTTGTCTGAAGACTTCGATCAAGTCTCCTCTGAAACGTCTCTTATACATAGAGAGGAAGTTCAGGTACCAAAGCCGGTCTACGTGGGATAGGCCTTTGGTTTTACGAACCATTCTATTTGGTAACCGTTGCACTTTTTCCAATCAGTCTACGTCCATTACTCGGTAGGGAGCCCAGGCTTGGACGCAGTATTCTAGGTGGGGTCTGACGAGTGCCCTATGCAGAGGGATGAATACATCGGCTTCTCTACTGGTTATTGTAGCTCTGAGTGAAAGCAGCGCTCTCCTGACCTTGTGGGGTGCTTTGGCGCATTGTTCACTAGGTGCAACGCTGGCTGGGACTGTAATCCCAAGATCCTTGACACACCTCTCTTGTTCAGGAGTATTTGTTTCTTGATTTGGGAGCTTAAGCCGCAGGGGGGAGGTTCCGGAGCATTTCTGCTTAGAACACAACATTTGGTTGCGTTCAGCGGCAGATCCCACGTTATCATCGACGCTGAAAGCCTGTCTAAGTCGTCTTGTATTGGTTGACAGCTACACGAGCCGCCAACTATTTTGACGCCGTCTGCATAGAGGAGGTATGGATTTGCGACCTCCTCGGTCAGGTCGCTGATAAATATAAGGAAGAGGAGTGGTCTTATTATTGACCCTTGGGGGACACCACTGGTCGCTTTCCCTTCGCTGGAGATCGTGGAGCGTATTTTCACCTGGTATGTGCGATTGTGGAGTAGACTGGCTATCCAGTTACATATCTGGATTGGAGCCCCTGTATCCCTTAATTTATTGAGTAACAGCACGCGGTTAACGGAGTCGAACGCCTTTTGAAAGTCTATGTGGCAGACTTCAACTGTTTCTCCTTTGTCTAACCTGCTATTTACTTCGTCTAGAAATACTAAGAGGTTGGTCAGACAGGATCGACCCTTGAGGAATCCGTGCTGTGACTTCGAAAAAAAGTGCACGCCTATTTGGTACTTGCTAGTTTTTTCTTAATGTCCGCTTCGTCGCTTTGGAAATGATACTAGTCAAGCTAATTGATCGATAGTTTTCTAAACTGGCTGCATCCCCTTGCTTGTGGATGAGGGAAATCGTAGCTCTGCGTCAGTCGACCGCACTATGCCTGTTGACATCAACTGATTGAACAGTGATGTTAAGGGTTCAGTGAATTGAGGGTGCCATTGGTTTTAACACCGCTGGGTGCAGGTTGTCTGGGCTGGCGGATTTCGTCGGGTTGAGTCCGGAGTTCACAAATTGGACCTCGTCGGGCTCTATGATCCAGCTAGGGCTGCATGAGCCTGCAATATTCACGTCTGTGAGGTTGTTTGCGATCGTCCTTACTCGGAAGATTGTCTGTAAGTGGCCATTAAATGCGTCTGCAATACCCCGGTCCGCGTCTAGGGCTGTTGTCCCTAAAGATATAAGCAAACCTATAGCCTTTCGGGACCTACCTTGCAATTGGAAGTATCCACAGAACTTTTTTGGCTGTGTTCTAATATCCTTCGCCAGTTTTATTTCATACTGACTTCGGGCTAATCTCGATATGCTGACTGTAACAGTCAAAAAGCCTGAAAATTCCTCTCAAATCCCTTGCACTTCCTCAACTTTCTTCGCCATTCTATCGTGCATTCTTTCTGACAGTGGTTTTTATGCCGGTGAATTTTCTCTTCTGAACCTTCTATTTCACCATTTTTACGGTGAAGCATATCTATTGGACACATACTTCAAGTGTTTTGCTCTTACATGTAAATGAGATTCAGTGTTTTTTTCTTGTTTTATCGATTGGACGCTCGTTGTTGAACTAAGCGTTGCTTTCGGTTGTATAGAACCCCTTTTGGCTGTAACGCTCAAGATGGTTTTGCTTGATCTGTTGAAGCGTGCAGAATTTTTCTATTGGTCCAGAATTATCTGAAAGATAGTTAAAATCACTGATTTCCTTATTTACTTTTTATTACCGCAGATATTTTCTGTGAATATTTGTAACACTTTGGCTGGATAGTGA